CACTGTTTTCAAATGAACCCTATCCCCCCTGACTCTGCATGTTAATTTGAAAAAATGTCTGAAGGAAGGTACGACAAAGTTACACCGGTAATAGCAGGCTATTACCTAGGCTATGATATCACTATACCCGACAGCTTTTTGTGCCGGAACGAAAAGCTATCCAGTTTCATCCGATATGTAGCTCTCCACCGGCTTTAGAGATCTGCGCGACGCAGCTTCTCTCCGTTACACTCGCGCTGAAATCACCCTTCTTATGTGAGAATAGAAGCCTTATCCGGTATGAATTCCGTGCCGGCACAAAAGCTATTAGTTATAATGTGAGCATAGCCTTATTTACCATCTGTTCCTTTACCTACTTTTCTATTTTGTTTTGTATTGTTTTTTATGCATCTTCAATATTTTTTTTGGATACGCACTTGCGTACTAACGTCCAGCTAGGTACGCCTCAGGGGCAACTTGCCAAAACGGACACCTAACTGTAAAGATAGATCCCGCTTTTCTTTACTTCTTTTTACCGATTCCTCTATAAGGCAGACATATGATGATGGTGCCTTTCCTTTCGTTTTAATTTTTCAGTCATTTTCTCGGCTGTAACTTGTAATTCAGTCTGGCGCGATTCCGACAATGTCAAGACTGCGAGAAGACGCTCATTTTCCTTTTGACTCTCACAGTAGACCCAGAGCACGCGTGAAGCACGCAAAGCCTCAACCTTTCCGCCCAAATCTCTCCTCCTTTTTTAAATTAATTTGCATAATTTTACTTTTTCGCTCGCTGCGCGTGGCTTAGAAGAAGGAAGGACGACCCCGCTCGCGGTCTAGACGGTGTCCGTTTTACTGTCCTGTCACTGTACTCCTTTTAAGCGGCGACCTTGTTTTACAGATTCAGTTATAATGAAAGAAAAACATTACGACTCCAATACTATGCAACAAGCATAGGCACTCGAAGTATTATTTACAGTACTATAAATCTTACAAAAACTCAGGCTCACATTAAGCCCTTTGAAGGCAAAAATTCAAATAATGACTGAACCTAACACATCAATATTTCATATACGACG